CCCCCCTAGAAAGTTTTCTGCGGGCGCCAATGAATGGGAAGATGTTTAATGAGAAGATGTTTCAGGGTAAAGTCTGTGAAATGGCACAGCGACTTATTTTTAACTTTAATAACAATTATTTATTTTAATTTGATTTAATTGTCAAGAAATAGTTAAAGGCAATGATGAGTCTTTCTTAAAATCAATTCTTTTAACTTCGCTTCTGTTCGAGTGTTTCTGCGTTTAAGGCAAAATCTTCGGACGGCTCACTGAACCCCTTCCCGTTATCCTATCGAAATGAAACTTGGCACATAGACACGTTGTCGATGACAACACATTCTATTGGAATTGTAAGCCCCACCTCCAACCCCCCCCCCCCACCCCTATAATCTATTCTTCCTGTTTTTCAAGGGGAAGATGAATTCAAAAGTATTTGTTCAATGGGTGCGTGTTTTGGTGTGGAGATTAATTGTGTGGCTCTTGGTGTGTGCTTTGCATTTTTGACGTATTTGAGTACGCAGTAAAACTAAAATGTATTTTTGAAATAGAAAATATAGTAAATTTGAAATGTATTTTCGCCAGAAGTTTTCCTATTTACATAACTGCTTCTTAATAAATGATAAATGACATACAGTTACATAAATGCAACAAAAAAACAAAATGCATACAAAGGATTTTATACGAAAAACTTTGTTCTTAAGTGTTGTTTAATTTCAAATCAAAAGGATCCACATATTTGTAATGAATCTAAGAGGGCCAACGATCATATTTGTTTCTCTGTTATTGTGATGAGTCAGTTTCACCATTAGAGGAAATCGATTTAATGCCTCTGTTATTAGCCGAAACGCTGATATAAAATGTAGAGTACCGAAACTTCATTGGACATCCTCCTCTTGTATAAATGTCATCTTTTAAACACTTTAAGATTATAGGGGAAAACGACCGGAGTTTTAGTCTTTTTAATTTGTATTTAACGTTTAATATACAGGGTGGGGCCAATAAAAGAGAGAACATTTCGTAGCGTAATATTTTACGAGATGTTCTCACTTTTATTGGCCCACCATGTATATGACTTTACGATATATTATATTACTATAAAATATATATGAATATTTAATATATATGATGATATAAATATAGGACTATTAAATATAAATGGATATTATATATATATATATATATATATATATAAATATATATATTTATATATATAAAATATATAACTACTTAATGTAACTACTATTAAATAAATAGGGCTTTTATTTTAAAAGACCAACTACTATAATGATATTTAAGGTAAAAGTATACATTATTTTACAACATACCTCTCCCATGTTCAACCCAGTTCTGTTTACCTTGATGTGGGTGTCTGGCTGGGCTTCGTGTGACAAGCTACTTCGTATACCTGTCTACTGTGGAATATTCGGCTGGCTGGGCAGCGCTCTGGTCGTCTGGTCGGCCGGCATCATTGTAATCATGACCAGCTGCAGGTGGGTCCCCACTTTAACTCGACATGGATTTACACCAACTTATAATCGTTCAGCTCATATAATCTTCCAACTAGTGCCAACTCATAATCTGCTAACTCATTATATGCCAACTCATAATTTACCAACTCATAACCATCTAGCTCATAATCATCTAGCTCATTATCATCCACTCATAGCTATCCAGCTCGTAATCATCAAGCTTATAATCTGCAACCTCTTACTTAATTAAGTGGCACTACAGCCAATGTAGGGCCCTGGCCTGCTGCACCACATCCTTCCACTCGGTGCGATCCATGGCTTTCCGTCTCCATGCTCGAACCCCCAACTGGTGTACATCTGTCTCCACATCATCAATTAACCATCAATATCATTAGACATAAATCGGCTGAAATTGAAATGAATCTTAACGATGACGTCATTAAAACTTAAGACTGCTCATTTACTCTATTTGCACAAAATGGACTCGTCACTCAATCCGATAGTTGGGTGACCGGAAGTTGACGTTGTGCCTGTGACGTCGCCGTGGGGTTATCCCTCATCCAAGAACATCAACTCTGATGCAACTGTGAGCACAATCCCTTGATTGTACCCCTTTGCTAAAACCTAGTTTTGGATACAGCAGCTTGTGACCGGCGGTAGAAAAACCAGTCATTCCATTTAACATACTGAAATGTTCTAGAACAATTCATTTTTTAATTAAATGCCTTCTGGTTTAAAAATATAACGTTAATATATCTCCCAATTATTCAACAGACGTAGTAGATAATATGACCTGGTATTGATGTCTTGGGTTTTTGTCATGTGGACGTGGGGGTGGGGGGGGGGAAAGGGGGGTGTCATAAAGAAAGAAAAGGAATCGACCGAATGAAATCATGTAATCTACTTTTGGATTGATTTAAACTTTAGAATCTTTCTCATAATCTTTCTCATAATCTTTCTCATAATCTTTCTCATAATCTTTCTCATAATCTTTCTCATAATCTTTCTCATAATCTTTCTCATAATCTTTCTCATAATCTTTCTCATAATCTTTCTTGGGTACAACATTTCTGCTAAGTTTTAATTTTAATATTTGTGTTTGTTTTTTGGTTGGGTTTTTTTTTTTTTTTTTTTTCTGAAGAAGGCGTTTTGCCGACACGTTCGTTGTTGTTGTTTTTTTTGCGTCCTTTTTTTTTTGGTCCATTTTTGACCACACCTTGCTTCACACATTTCCCAATAAACTATTTGTGATATATATTTTTTTTTTTTTTTTTTTCTTTTTGCCTATATTTTTTTTTTTTTTTTTTTTTTTTTTTTTTTTTTTTTTTTTTTTTTTTTTTTTTTTTTTTTTTTTTTGCTGAAGAAGGCGTTTTGCCGACACGTTCGTTGTTGTTGTTTTTTTTGCGTCCTTTTTTGTTTGGTCCATGTTTGACCACACCTTGCTTCACACATTTCCCAATAAACTATTTGTGATATATAAATCAATGTAAAAAATCCAATGCAAACTAAACCATCCATGTTGCATGAGTTCAAGACATTGAGAAAATACAAAGAACTCGGATTTTTTTTTTTCCCCAACTTTTATTGAATTCACAATCTAGAAACCGATCCAATGATTCCTTCCTTTCTTCCGTGTTCAGATACCTGTCCTTGGTCAAGCCTTTGTACTATCGGACTAACGTGACCACGACCAGCGTCACGCGTGGAGTCATAGGGGCGTTAATCTTCTGCCTGGTGTTCTTCATCTGGCCCTTCACGGGACTTACTGCCCCTTTCACGTAAGTCGCCTTTCTCTGTGTTTAAAAAATGAGATGAAAGAGTACATTGGATTATGACGATTTGAAAGTTGTCTTTTGTTGTTGTTGCCGACGGCATACTTTTTAATTGTATTTTTATTTGTTATTTTAGTTAATTGCTTCTAATTTAACTGTGCTTATCTGGTCTGACCAAAAGGTATTTGAACAAGATTAGAGACGTGTTCATTAATTTTTTAATTAAAATGCTTTTTTTTTTTCATTTCTGTAGGTTCCTTTTTTCTATTATTACCTGTTTTGTTGTGTTTTTTCTGATTTTTTTTTAAATTAAATTTTGTATTATTTAGTTTGAGATCATGCAATAAATTCAGTAGATCTTGGTCAGCTGTACTTAGCGTGAGATCATGCAATAAGTGCAATAAAGTTGATCTTTGTCAGCTGGCTCAAGTTTTGTTGAGAATTTTGAGTTGATCACAGTCATGATGTGTCCTGTTTGTCTTTGACCTTCCAATTTTGTGCCACCACCCCCCACCCCCCGTTACAGCATCTATGAAGACAACCACATCTGCGCCACACAGTTCTCCCCGGGCGGCGCCGGTATTGGCCAGAGACTGTTCATTGGCGTCACTGGAGTGATTGGTTGCCTGACGGTGGTCCTTGTCTTGGTGTGCAACCTCACCATCGTCAAGACGGTGAGAGGAAATAGTTCATGAACCGAAATTATTCTAATCACAGAAATGATATCCACATTTCAACGACTGTCATATGATTCAAAGAGTATTTTCCTGTTGCTCTCTCCACTTTATGGTCTGTGTTATTTAATGCCTTAACATGAAATGTCTTGATGACCGTATTCTCTACCTTCCTGTAATCGCCTAACTCTGTAGCAAAATTGTAAATCAGTTGACATATTTGATCTCAGCTTCGTCAAAGAAACGCCATCCGGTCAGAGGTCATCAGTGCGCGAGCTGACGGCACGAGGACGAACGCACACGGAAAACGACGGAAATTCGGTCACGTGACACTCGTGGTCTCATTCGTCTATGCATTATGTTACGCTCCTTTTGTGGTAAGCCTATTCTTCTCCGGACATAAATACATAGAGATTGTTGCGTGTTGATATGAAGGCCTTCGTACACCGTCCTTTGTTCAAATGGTTTGTATATCCCTGGCCCAACACATATTAATCTCAACTTCGTTTTCTTCTTTCATATCTAGTTATACCAAAAACTCCGGGAAATATTGTACCATGTTTGGGGAAATAATAGATGAAAAAAAATTATAAAATAATCATATGTAAGCCCTAGGGCCTAGGGTGTTAAGAAATTGTTCATATGACACAAACTCTTGAAACATGGCTTGTTATTCTCTAACATTTTTTTGTCTAAAGTGTAATAACTATAATATTGTAATGCATACCGTACACAAAAATATTGTTTCTGTAATTATTGAAAATATCTAAGCATCGGAGATGACTATTTTAAATAAGTAAAAAAATTACGAAAATGCTTTTCTCAGGTTGTGCATTCAAAAAAAAGTAAAACTATCTGTTAACAAAACGCGATAGGCCCCCAGCATATAGCACACGTACTTGTGTTAATGCTTTCAATTTATAACACAGCCACATGTGTTAATGCAGTCATAGTAAGTCCATGAGATTGTAAGCGTTAAAGTCAAAACCAAAAGATAAGCTCCACAACATACCCTCAAAATGTCTGCCTTATTTATCCTTTACACGAGTGCTAACATTTCCCTCCTAGGTCTGCCTTGTCATAACAAACCTTTCCCTCCTCAGGTCCACCTTGTCGTTACAAACCTTTCCCTCCTCAGGTCCGCCTTGTCTTTACAAACCTTTCCCTCCCCAGGTCCGCCTTGTGATTGACACCATCAATGACACAGACCACCAGAACCTTCTCATCCACTCAGTGACTCTCAGCCTGCTGTTCCTCAGTCCCCTCCTCAACCCCATCGTCTACGGCGTCTTCAACAAACAATTCAGACAGACCCTCTTCAGCATGTTCAAACCCGGGGCCAGGAAACCCGGCCCCTCGGGCAGTGTGGACTCACGGTCCGGTCAGAACGGAGACGCCTACCTGCAAAGGTCCATCAAGGACGGTCAAAAGGTCAAAGTCCAACCTGAAAGGTCAGGGTCAGGGTCAAATTTGGAGACACAACATGGCCGGTCCGCTGTCCAGGTCCATGAGACGGACGTAATTATAACCGGATATGCACGTCCATATGAAGTGTTTAGCTATTCGTGTGAGTGAGGTTCAGAAACATAATTGGGTGTGTTGAAGTTCCAAAAAAAAAAATTTTTTTGACTGCTCTGACGAGGATAAATGACAGCATGTTGCCAGATTTAATGAGACTCAGTGTGTGAGATATTGGAACTAATAAAAGTCATACAATTAACACCAAAGAGTTCGACTTTTTATTGACGTCTTCCAAATCTCATAGCACTACTACTGACACAAGAAATCACATGTCGGTTACTTAAATTACACGTACACAATTGTGTACTTCTCACAAATAGCATAGCATGGCTGTTGACACAAGTGTGTACTTCTAACAAATAGCATAGCATGTCTATTGACACACTTATGTACTTTTCACAAATAGCATATCGTGGCTATTGACACAATTATGTACTGCTCACAAATAGCATATCATGGCTATTGACACAATTATGTACTTCTCAATAATAGCATATCATGGGTGTTGAATCGGCTATTGCTCTCCCTGGACATTCCTATTTTGGCTTTAGACACAACTATTTGTCTATCACCTACTTACATCATTGATGTTCACACAACTGTGTACCGGTACTAACAGGGTCTGTATTAAATCTCTAGACTCCATTGAGCCGACTTCTGGATTAATTAAGATAAACCAACTCTATTTAATATATATTTTAGAGATGGAAGATTCCCTTATTACTCATCTCCCCACCTCTCCCCCCCCCCAACCCACAAAAAATCCCACCTTGGTATAATTATTTTCTCAGATTTAAACTTTTTAAATGTTATACAAACTTTATCATTCTATTTCTCTCTCTCTCTCCCGCTCTCTCTCTCTCTCTCTCTCTCGCTCTCTCTCTCTCTCTCTCTCTTCTGTCTCTCTTCTTACCTCTGTCTATATCTATTCTCTCTCTCTCTCCCCCCCCCCCTTTTCTCTCTCTTTTTCTTTCACTCAAATTTTAAACCTACTACTACAACAAAGGGAGAGAAATGTTGTGTGGAACGGAAGCGGTAAACGTCTGTGTGAGCTATTAATAGCTCCGCACGCGAGAGATACGTTCTGATGACCTGGTAGCACGTGTGTGTCTCGTGGTGTAATTTTTAGGTAGTATCATGGTGTAAATGGTGGCATCATGTATTAATGTTGCGTACATGGTAGTGTGATATATGTATATGGTGTAAATGGTAGTGTGATATATGTGTGTGGTGTAAATGGTAGTGTGATACATTAATCTGGTGTAAATGGTAGTGATATATTATTAATCTGGTGTAAATAATAGTGTGATATATTAATCTGGTGTAAATGGTAGTGTGATATATTAATATGGTGTAAATGATAGTGTTATATATTAATGATGTAATTATGGTGTAAAGTCAAAAGATAAGTTGAGTTTCGTGGGATGAGGAAAAGATATTGAAGATATCTGTTATTCTGTGGGAGTGGGTGGTGGTTGTTGGTTAAAGAAAGGAAATGTTTATTTTATTCTATTTTTCCAACAATATCATTTGAAATAACGAACCACGACCAGCGATGGAAATGTTAGCATTGGTCAAATTTAACATAAACTTACCACGGCCAGTGATGGAAATGTTAGCATTGGTCAAATTTAACATAAACTTACCACGGCCAGTGATGGAAATGTTAGCATTGGTCAAATTTAACATAAACTTACCACGGCCAGTGATGGAAATGTTAGCATTGGTCAAATTTAACATAAAATTACCACGGCCAGTGATGGAAATGTTAGCATTGGTCAAATTTAACATAAAATTACCACGGCCAGTGATGGAAATGTTAGCATTGGTCAAATTTAACATAAAATTACCACGGCCAGTGATGGAAATGTTATCATTGGTCAAATTTAACATTAAATTACCACGGCCAGTGATGGAAATGTTAGCATTGGTCAAATTTAACATAAAATTACCACGGCCAGTGATGGAAATGTTATCATTGGTCAAATTTAACATTAAATTACCACGGCCAGTGATGGAAATGTTAGCATTGGTCAAATTTAACATAAAATTACCACGGCCAGTGATGGAAATGTTAGCATTGGTCAAATTTAACATAAAATTACCACGGCCAGTGATGGAAATGTTAGCATTGGTCAAATTTAACATAAAATTACCACGGCCAGTGATGGAAATGTTAGCATTGGTCAAATTTAACATAAAATTACCACGGCCAGTGATGGAAATGTTAGCATTGGTCAAATTTAACATAAAATTACCACGGCCAGTGATGGAAATGTTAGCATTGGTCAAATTTAACATAAAATTACCACGGCCAGTGATGGAAATGTTAGCATTGGTCAAATTTAACATAAAATTACCACGGCCAGTGATGGAAATGTTAGCATTGGTCAAATTTAACATAAAATTACCACGGCCAGTGATGGAAATGTTAGCATTGGTCAAATTTAACATAAAATTACCACGGCCAGTGATGGAAATGTTAGCATTGGTCAAATTTAACATAAAATTACCACGGCCAGTGATGGAAATGTTAGCATTGGTCAAATTTAACATAAAATTACCACGGCCAGTGATGGAAATGTTAGCATTGGTCAAATTTAACATAAAATTACCACGGCCAGTGATGGAAATGTTAGCATTGGTCAAATTTAACATAAAATTACCACGGCCAGTGATGGAAATGTTAGCATTGGTCAAATTTAACATAAAATTACCACGGCCAGTGATGGAAATGTTAGCATTGGTCAAATTTAACATAAAATTACCACGGCCAGTGATGGAAATGTTAGCATTGGTCAAATTTAACATAAAATTACCACGGCCAGTGATGGAAATGTTAGCATTGGTCAAATTTAACATAAAATTACCACGGCCAGTGATGGAAATGTTAGCATTGGTCAAATTTAACATAAAATTACCACGGCCAGTGATGGAAATGTTAGCATTGGTCAAATTTAACATAAACTTACCACGGCCAGTGATGGAAATGTTAGCATTGGTCAAATTTAACATTAAATTACCACGGCCAGTGATGGAAATGTTATCATTGGTCAAATTTAACATTAAATTACCACGGCCAGTGATGGAAATGTTAGCATTGGTCAAATTTAACATTAAATTACCACGGCCAGTGATGGAAATGTTAGCATTGGTCAAATTTAACATTAAGTTACCACGGCCAGTGATGGAAATGTTAGCATTGGTCAAATTTAACATTAAATTACCACGGCCAGTGATGGAAATGTTAGCATTGGTCAAATTTAACATTAAATTACCACGGCCAGTGATGGAAATGTTATTTACAACGTATCAGCTCTTCGCCAACATTTTTTAGTAAACATCCCACACACAGACCGCACACTCATCCCACACACAGACCGCACACTCATCCCACACACAGACCGCACACTCATCCCACACACAGACCGCACACTCATCCCACACACAGACCGCACACTCATCCCACACACAGAATGTACACATGCCAGACAGAAACAAAACACACCCCACACACAGACCACACACATAATATACTGCTCCATACTCTACTACTCCATACTCTACTACACCATACTCTAGTACTCCATTGCCTGACATTTCATATTCTACAGCTCCAGAAACACTCCATAATCTACAACTCCATTCTCTACTACTCAATATACTAACACTCCATAATCTACTACTCCATTCTCTACTACTCAATATACTAACACTCCATAATCTACTACTCCATACTCTACTACTCAATATACTAACACTCTATAATCTACTACTCCATACTCTACTCCTCCCCACTGTATGACTCCAAACGTCCAAAGATACGCTACTCCACATGGTCTCTTGCCGTACTCAGGGGCGTCGCCCACAATGTCACTTTCCAAACCCCCCCCCCCCGTGCTCTGCATTACTCACAGTTACACATGCACTCTTACCTCTGTATGCTGTTATTACCACCTTGCCGGGGTGGATGGGGAGTAGGGGCAGGGTGGTGGAAAAGGTGGAGGGGGGGAAGGTGGCCAAACGTAAGCATTGAATCCAGCACTTGGAGTGAAGGGAAACAATCGAGGGAGGAATTTTGGGAAGGTAGAGAGAACTCGGTCTTGCAGGACTTGTCTAGAACGCAGCTCATCCTAGTGCAAGGATCTGTGTTAGTGATTAGGTGAGCGTGTTGAGGCAGGAGATTTGTGGCTACACACCGGCGCATTGGTGTGTTGATTTACGAACTGGGATTTGTTTAATATCATATTATGTTCAAAGTTTGATTTGGTTGTTGTTGTTTTTTTCCAGGAAAATCCTAAGTTTAAATGGCTTTAAAACAAACCATTTCAATTCGATAGTCTCGCGTGAAACACTTGTCCTACTAGGATTAAATTCTAACACCGTGCCAACTCTGGTGCGCAAGTTGTAAGAAGTACGGTTATGTATTGATTTTATTGAACGATCTATTTCCGAAACAACCCAATATGAAAAAGTCAAATTCTCTACCGACCACTGATATCATTATGTTCATCCTGAGCTACGTCAGCGCACTGAGGAGGTTCAAAATGTGACCTAAGTTATCGCGCTTGCGTTTGATTTTTTTTTTTCCAGAATGAAAATTGGCTGGTTTCAGGGTAAAACTGACATGAATCATATTAGATTTACCCTGCAACAAACCAATTTCACCGTTACTTACCTCATAAAAAAAATTAGCCAATATACCGTTATTTACGTCATAAACTACAAGCCAATATGACGTTACTTATTTCGTAAACAAAGAGCAAACGTGCAATCCAATGGGATTCAAACATCGCGAATAGTAGTGCCTGTAGATATGGATAGTTACATACATATGCGCCATATTTGGCAAAGTCGATTACGTTTAAATCCCTGACAGGTTGTCATTGGTCAACTATTTTTAGCTTATCAAACGAACGGTCAGACAGTTTCACAAATCCCTGTGGAGAGAACTGAACTAACATTGCGCAGACTTGATCTACAAAAGGAGTAAACTTGACCATCGCCATGTCTCAGACCATCGTCCAGCTCCACAGAAATCCCGGCGTGCCCTGGGGTTTCCGGTTACAAGGCGGGCGTGACTTCTCTTCGGAACTTAGCGTCAAAAAGGTTGGTGTGTTGTATGTACCGGTAGTAAATGTGGTATGTTGGATGTCGAATTTGAAAAATAACCGGTTGCAGTGGCTATTCTTAGCCCCAC